CATACGCACAACAGCTATCTCGCGTACGGAATCTCAGGGAGTAACGACTACAATTTCTTAGTTTGGGAGTCGTTGTTAAGGTATCAGTATACCGTACCCCAAAATTGACCATTTTTCAAAGAAATTGTTTTCCGCTCTTTCAGACAGATCTTTTTATGGTCTTTAATTTTAAAAAACATTCTACAAAAAAATATTAATTCTATGCGAAGTTACAAACGAAAAACGTTTCTTTTCGTTAATTATCTCTAATTGATAGCTGTTAGCGGGTTGTCACGAGAAGTATATGTAAACTTGCAATTGCCGTCTATGAACTAAACGTTTGTGTTCGGTATGGTCGACGTGCTGGTCTAGGTTTCCGGGGGTGGGTGTTCTCCGTTTGTAGATTGTTGATTTAACCTTCGAAGAAACGCAAAAGTTCGTGCCATTTGCAAGCTCGAAGAAAGCACCACGGAGAAAAAGGTCGGGGGAAAAGGTTTCAAAAACAGTCGATCAGAATTGGACTGATGCGTTAGCTGCTAGCGACAAAGGTTGCTTGCACTGGACGAGGAAGACGTTTGACATTTTCTAAGCATTACGTTCTTGGTGCTTTTGCCGTTTGAAGCGGTAAAATTAATAAACCAATTTTAACGTAATCGGTGTCTCGTGGGTTTCCTTCACGTTGTTTACGAGTTTTACGTTTTAAAAATCGAAAGGAAGAAACAGGAGCCAAAATTATTCCTTTTTTTATTGTAATGAATACACCTTCGTAATTTACAATTCTTAAGCTTTCAGAAAATATATACTTTACTGGGGTTTGGATGAAACATCCGACCGTAAAGCGGCGTCACCGAATCATGGTCATTTGGGGTATACTGATAGTTTCCCTCAAAGGAACTCAGTCACGGTATTTTGAGTTATTTCGGCCACGTACACAATCAGCTTAAAATTGAAAGAAACCTGAAACTAGTTGTCTACTGAGATAGAAAAACACCAAAGCGATAAAAATGACCTATAAAGAAACAAGGTTGGTTAAGGATGGAGAAGATTAACACAGATTACGAACGACACACTTGAAAGATTTAGCGTAAACTTTTAGAGGCTCCTCCTTTACGCTTTAGTGTAGTGTATGGTGTTTTGAATCGGCTATTGTGTATTGCTACATGAGAATATTACCAACCCTTCAATCTGGCTCTGCTGTTTGCCAGTCGAGGTTTGTTTCATTTTGAATATAATACCGTCAGCATGTTTAATTAGTTACAATGTAAACAATGTTGAAATTCTCTCGTTTATGGCTATCTAGCCCTTCCAGCTACGCGACATCTGTTTTAATAAAGTTGCTAACATTTTACCGCAATTTGCCATCTGGCTTGTAAAAGAAATTGCTCATATTTTGAATCGAAATGTACAAATACCCTGTACTTTTACTGTCGATCTGTGCACAGGGATCCAAAGCTCCAGCTGTGAGCGATATTATCTTGTCTATGTCATCTTGCGCAATGGTAAAAGTATAAGACTGTCTGGGAATATTTATGATCGTGTTTAGGGATACAAATACTAAAAAGCACTCCATAAAAATACCTTCTGCTACCTCCACAGTACATTGCTTGTTGTCTGTTCGCTTTTCAGCTTATTTGAAGCGATTTTGGTGAGTTATCGTTCCCTGGGTTAAGAAATTGTTTCGCTGCAAAGTTGCTTCAAATCAGCAGAAAAAGCAAACAGACAACGTAACTGTCAAACCGACAACTTATTAGCAGCCTGAACTCTAACAGATCTAGAAATCAACCAATCACGTCTTCTTATTACACTACACGACGGTGGTAGCCATAGAAACACAATTACATTTATAAATGTGAAGTTTTTGGAATAACTTCCCTTTAAAGACGACTTACCAAGCAATGCATGGCCATAGGCTTCTAGCGTTTCTCCTTTTTCAAAGAATGATAAATTTTTGTTATCTCGCGGTCGCAGAAGACCTTACATGGTCTCGCTCGGCGTATTTCACGACGCACGAGAATCAGCGGCTTGAAGGCCACGTCGTTGAGCAGTTTGAGTCACCTAGTTCAATATCGTGCAGTTATTCTTGTCTGAGAAATCCCTGGTGTACTTCCACAAACTTCAACGTGTTATCCGGGAAGAACGACAGAGGAACGTGCGAACTGAACAAGCACGGAGTCCTCGATGAAAACTCTGAGTTTCATGAAAAAGACGGAGTGACATTTTCTTTGATCCAGAAGGTAGGGCATTATTAGCAAACGTTTTTGACCAGTTGTATTAAGGAAGTTCGCACTGTCTTCCTTTATACGAATATATCTTCGCAAACTCATTAATAATAAATCGTCAAGTTTAAACAAAGGAAATCATGACCGTGACGGTGTCTGGATATCTGATCTTAATTAAACAAGATTTCTCCCTAGTTTTCGTTTCGATTGAGAAGATATATCAAACACTCATGACAGTGTTTGACCACACTTCTAAACACCCCGAAGCTCGTCAAAATATTCCGCTGCGCGTCGTATTTTCAACTCACTTCTCGGTGTTTAGAAATGTAGTCAAACTCGGTCTTTCGTGTTTGACATATTACTAACAAGAATACCGAGGCGAAAATTTGCGAAATTTTAAGAATACTTTGAGAGAAACCGGAGGCTAAGACTCTAAAAAGAATATAATTTTGCCTGTTGAAAATTTCTTTAAAAAAATGCATAATACAATAACATGTTTTTACTAAAGCACATAAAATTCTTCCTTTCTCTAAACGGCAAAACTAGCTAAAAAACAACAAACTCGACGCTAGCCTTATGCTCGACGCTAACAACATTTCTGCAAAAAGTTGCGTGTGTCATATGGGGCTTTATTGACTGCAGCCTGGCTCCAAACTTACTTCAACACCATCAAAATCATGAGAATTTCTTTAAAAAAAATATCTAAGAACATTCACAAGAAGATTTTTAAGCTAACATCGCCAGAAAGAATAGTTATATAAGAACTTTGCGCGTGGGCCGGAAAAACCATATTCTTATTTTAAAAAAAAGAGTGTAATCCAGACGAGACTGCTGAATCTATCATTACTTTTGTCCATTAGAGGTCGCTTCGTGCTTAGGATAAAAAGTTTACTATGAAGAGCTCAGTTAAATTTGACAGTTATTTCTAAAAGCGTTGCCTATTCGTCAAGAGATCAGTAAATATGTCATTCTTTGCTTGAAAAAGCTTCGCGTAAAAAGTGTAATAAAACTTTTGATTATTCATCGGGTCTTTTCAGTTGCCAACCTCCTCTAGTAAAGAGTATGTCAATCTTTGTTTTTAAAGTGCCTCTCGTGAAAAGCACATGTAGTTGAAGTTGAACATTACAATCTTCGCACCAAATGTGTTACTCGTGAATAGTTCATGATCAGTAAAATATATCAGCACAGTGTTTCAAATGTGCCATTTCTTGTTCCAAAAGGACTTCTCGAGATCAGCGAAGTAAAACGCTTTTCGTTCTAAATGTGTTTCTCGTGAAGAGCTCAGTAAAATATTTACTCTTCGTTCTCAAAGCACGTCGCAAACTGGCCCAATAACACATGACATTTTCTTCTTTCTAAAAGTGCCACGAATGCGCGCTTAAGTACTACGAGAGTTAAAATGTGCGCTTGTTGAAACCCGGGACCTCCCCTGCTTAATGTAAAATACGGTTCTGTCCGTATAAATTATAGCTTATTCTAATTCTAGCAGTCCTAAACAAAGAAAATACTCCCTCAGTGTACCAATGCTCGACGACACAACCTAAAATACTACCTGACAAATTACAGCTTCTTACTAATGCGCCAGCACTGTAGTCGATTCTTAATGTTTTAAGCAACAAGGTGAAAAAGCATACCAATGAATTTTTCGTTTGTATCACTCCTTTTTCATCTGCAACGTAACGGCCTGGTAAGTTTTGGAGGATTTTCCACCGATGGCCTTTTCCAGCTTTTTCAAGGTTTTATACAAGCCGCAAGGGTGTCCGGTAAAATTGGATTTTGTTTTTCTGGATTAACTGCAGTCCTCCAAGTCTATTTATTAAGTTTAAACCAACAGAATGATGTCCTTGGCTGTTTCTGGATTTCTGGTAGTTTTGGCATAGATTTTTTTACCATATTATGGTTACATTTTCTCCTCTTAAACCCCATTAAGGCTTCGATTTAAAAAAAAGAAAAAAAAAAGATATTAAACATTCGAGACAGTGTTTTTATCTCGAGAATCGTCAAAAATTATCTGCTGCGCGTCATATTTTCAGCTCTCTTCTCGTTGATTGGAAATGTGGTAAAACACGGTGTCTCGATCGTGTGTAATGCATTACTGCGCATACAGCTACAGATATTCAATTGCTTTTGATATTCTCTTCGCCTGCTATTTTGAACTGTAGGGATGTCTCATAACCGGCTGTCATAATGGTGGCGTTTGTGTAGCTGACGAGATGAAACAAACATTTTCATGTTTGTGCCAGGTACCTTGGGCTGGAGCAAAATGTGACATTAAAATCGGTAAGAAATGTAAAAGCTCATACGAAGGCAACAGGGAGATGCTGTCAATGGTATCGACTGGGTTGAATAATTTCCTTTAACGATCTACACGCAGGTTTGGTGACGGATTTCCGCTGACCCAAATGCATGGTCGTCATATCTTCGATGGTACAGTAGTCCATTTCCGAGTTACCCCAAACCTCTCTATCAAAGCGAGGCCTTATTAACAACTTTCATATGAAAATGAGTTTACTTTTGCATGGGAATGAAGTCTCATTTTCGTATGAAAGGATAGACACCAAGACTCGCTCTGAGAAAGAGCTAGGCTGAAGGCAATTCGAACCTTGTCGAAGATGGCGGCAGAGGGACAAAGTTCCCGCAACAAACCTTGGAAAAGCAAAACAGTGATGCCAATATCAAATATATCTCAGT